GTCCCCAGAGTGACCTGAAATCCAACCAAGACCTCAAGACTTGTGCAGGTCAGGTCCCAAAGTCACCCAGACTCCTTGGGATCTTTCTTCTTAATCTATTCCATCCATGGCCCAAAGCAGCTCTCAATCAAGACCAAAGGCTACTTTAACTCCAACAGCAGCAGGTCTTCGCCCCCCGGATCCTCCATCGAGTGGCAGATCTTCTGACATCAATGAAGTAGTCTCCTTAGCCATCACACAGGGTCTGGCAGAAGGGCTTCAACACATCTTCAGGCCTTCAGATAGATCTCAGCCTTCCTTCCCGGCTTTTCCTCTAGCACAGATTCCCCAAAGGGGACTACCTCACTGTGTAATACAAAGGGCCCATCTTACCTATGCAGAAGGAGTGGACGTCACTCAGGGAGAGTATGAGCAATCATCTGAGCGCAGCCCCTCCCCTTATTCTGATCTGGAAAAGGGAGAAATCTGGGACCCCAACCTCTCGGAGGAAGAGGAAGATTTGAGGCCTGATCAGCCTCCTTCGGTTTCTGTATTCAAATCTGCTTTATTCAAGCCTCTCCTACACAAGGCACTGGTAACAGCCCAGTTGTCAGCAGAGGAAATTGCCCCCAAGCCTCAAGTGGTACAATCGGAGCATGGGGATTCCTTCTTCTCCAAACCCATTGTTCATTCGGAGGTCCTTCCTTCCCCCATCATCATTCTTGACTTAGTCAAGGAACAATTTGCCTTCCCCGCTGCAGGCCCCCACCCATCGTCCCAAGATAGGCAGTTCTACAACATTGGTCCTTCCTTAGCTACGGCTCTGGCAGTTCCCCCAGTAGACGCCCCAGTTGTGGCCTTCTTCTCCTCAAGCACTCCAACTGAGCCTGAGGACGTACTAAAGGCAGAGGACAAACCCTCCGAACAAACGCTGAAGCGTAATCATCAAGACTCAGCTTGGGCCATCTGGGCCTCAACTGCTGCATCATATTTTACAAGGTCTTCCATCCGCTGGCTACGCCAACTTCAAAGCCGCATATCTCCATCAGACTGTAGGTCGCATCAAGACCTCAATAAGATCATAGCAGCAGCAGAGTTCTCGGCGGACCCCACCCTCAACGCCATCAAGTTCTCTTCCAGGGCCATGGTGTCATCAGTGGCAGCTAGGAGACTGCTATGGCTACGAAATTGGTAAGTGGAGCCTCAACGAAAGTGGAAACTAGCTTCTGCCCCATGAGTGAGAAACTGGAGATGCCCTTGACCCATTCGTTGTTGAAACAAAAGACAAAAGGAAAGTCCTTTCATCAGCAAGAAAGAGGGCAGACTTCCGCCCTACCGTATACCGGCCTCCCTCGTTCAGGCCCGAAACGCTTCTCACTTCTCCAGACCTCAGAGAGCATATTCTCAGCATCAAGATCAACGCCATGAGGCTACCGGCAGACAACAAGCTGTGGGTAAATGGCCCTTTCATGGGGGAGGGGGTTGCTCCTGTCGCTCTAAATAATCTCTCGTTCTCCTCTCCCATTGGAGGTTGTTTGGCCTCCTTTGGTTCCAGATGGGAGGAGTCAATGACAGGCTCCTGGGTACTCAATACAGTAAGGTTGGGGTTACAGTTAGAATTTCTATCACCACCCCCAGAAAAATTTCTACTCTGCCCCGTTTTCCGGGACAGTTCACGAAGGACACATATGGAATTGACCATTAGTCACCTGGTCGATATAAGGGCCATTCAACCAGTCCCTGAATTACAACGTTGGATGTGGGCTTTATTCTTGGCTTTTCGTGGTCCCTAAGTCCTCAGGGTGGTAGTGAGCCATTCTCGACCTAAAATTTCTGAATGAGTTTATCCCATATAGGCGCTTCAAAATGCAGACTCTGCATTCTATTCTGGAAGGTGTTTGGGAGGGCGATCTCTCTTCCATTGATCTCATGGAGGCTTACCTCCACATTCCCCTCTGGCCTCATCATCATCAGCTTATCCATTTCTGTTACCAGAATTCCCACTTCCAGTATTGGGCCCTTCCTTTCAGGCTCTCGTCTGCCCCAAGAGTCTTCACAAAGTTACTGGCGGCATTGGTGGCTTCACTCCAGTCTGTTTCAGTGAGGATCCAGTGCTACTTGGATGACATCTTGATCCTGTCGTCCTCCACCCACTCTGCCCATCAAGATCTTCAAACCACTCTCCATTTCCTTCAGTACCACGTTTTTTCCATCAACTCCAAGAAAAGCCATCCCTTCCCAACAACCAGATTGCTCCATCTGGGAGCCGTCATCAACACAACTCCGTGCCAAGTTTTTCTGTCTCCAACCCGAGGGCAGAGCCTTATCCAGATCATTCGACAAGTCCAACGTCAACACACTGTCTCCCTATCAATGTCCAAACTTTTGGGCAAAATGATCTCATGCATAGGCATCATTCCGCGGGCTCCACAATGGTTCCTGCTCCCCTTACAACAAGCAGGAACCAGCCTCACATCTGCCAAGGTCCTGTTCTCTCCAGAGGTCTGCCATTCCTTCAAGTAGTGGCTTTCCCCAGCCCTTTCGAAGGGTCTCCCATTCAAGGAACTGGACAGACTGATCATCACCACCGATGCAAGTTTCCTGGGTTGGGGAGCCCACATGGAGGGTCTCATGGCTCAAGGGATCTGGTCCCGGTTAGATAGGACTGGGCCCATAAACTGGCTAGAACTCAGAGCCATTTATTTAGTCCTGAAACATTTCAGGGGCAGGATAGTGGGGTCCCATGTGCTAGTGTTGACAGGCAACATGGCTGCAAAGGCGCACATTAACCGGCAGGGGGGCACAAGGTCCAGGGCTCTCATGAGGGAAGCCAAAAGGTTGAGGTGGGCAGAGAGACATCTGCTGTCTATCACAGCAGACCACATCTCGGGAGTTGACAACTCCCAGGCCAATTGGCTGAGCAGGAGCCCAGTCGACCAAGCAGAATGGTCCCTTCCCCCATCCATTTTCAGGGATCTCTCCCTCAGGTTTGGGACCCCAGAGGCAGACCTTTTCGCCTCTCCCCAAAATGCTCAAGTAAACAGATTTTTCACTAGGTTTCCTTGTCAGGGAGCGGAGGGGACCAATGCACCTTGGAGCAGATGGCCCACCAGTCTCCTCTAGGCCTTTCCCCCTCTTCCCATCATTCCGGCAGTCATTCGGAAGAAGTTGGAGGAACAGGCAGAGCTGATTCTCCTAGCCCCTCATTGGCCCAGGAGACCCTGGTTTGCAGATCTGATTAACCTGTCTGTAGCCACTCCCTGGAGGATTCCAGACCACATGTTCTCACTACATCAGGGGACACTGCTCCACCCAGATCACCGGTGGTTCAAATTGACCGTGTGGCGCTTGAGTGGCAACTGTTAAGAGAAGCCAATCTCCCAGACTAGGTCATCCTTACTATCCAGGCGTCTCGTAAATCTTCTACGACACATATGTGCAATGCCACCTGGAGGGTTTTTTGTCATTGGTGTCACAGGGAAGGTCTCTCTCCTACAGTAGCAGGGGTACCACAGGTCCTCCGTTTCCTCCAGGATGTCCTTGACAAAGACTATCCTAACACTTTACGCCGTCAAGTAGTGGCTCTTGCTTCAGTCATCTCCTGGGATTCCTTTCCTTGTCCCATCATCCTTCGGTTCAGAGTTTCTTAAAAGGGGCTTCCAATCTCTGCCCTCCTGTGGTTCACAGGTTCCCATCCTGGGACCTTCACAAGGTCCTCCAGGCCCTAACAGAACCTCCCTTTGAACCCCTCAGAAAGGTGTCCCTTCAATTCTTGAAATTCAAGGTAGTTTTCTTAATAGCCATCACTTCAGCTAGAAGGGTGTCAAAGTTGGCTGCTTTATCTATACGGCAGGTCCTTTGCACTTTTCACAACAATAGAGTTCTTCGTTTAGACCCTACCTTTGTACCCAAAATAAATTCTGTATTCCACAGATCCCAAGACATAGTAGTTCCTGATTTTTGTTCCCGTCCACACCATGCCTTATAGCACAAGTGGCACACCTTAGATGTTAGAAGGGCTCTTACAATTTATATCAAACGCACTTCAACATTTAGGAAGACAGAGGCTATGTTTGTATCCCTTTCCCCTTCCCACTGGGGGAACAAGGCCTCTCCTGCCACCTTAAGCAGGTGGATCAGGGCTTGCATCTCACAGGCCTACAAAGCCAAAGCTCTGCCAGTACCACACAGCTTGACAGCACACTCCACTAGGAGTGCTGCAACTTCGGCTGCCTGGGCCACCCAGGCACCCCTAGAGGAGATTTGCAGAGCGGCTACATGGACATCCCCATCTCCGTTCATCAGACACTACCGCCTGGATTCCTATGCCTCCACAAGTGCGGCTTTTAGCAGACGGGTTCTTCAGCGAGTGGTGCCTACTTCAGAGTGACTGGACCCTCACGACGACATGAAGGCTTTGGTATGTTCCATCCTGGGCTTTTGCAGTAGCATGGAGGAGAATGGGCATTGGTAAATTTACCTGAGAATGCCCTTTCTATCTATGCTGCTAGAGAGCCCAGCCCCTCCCTTGTTGCGTCCGGATTGTGGTGAGGTATGTTATGGTTCTACTTTGGCTTTCAGAGACACTCACTAAAGTTTGTCAAGTATCTTCGCCAAAGCTGGGGGTTTTCCCACAGGCTGCTGCTTTTATACTAGACGGACCCAGCTTGATGATGTCATCAGGAGGAGTCATATCCATCCTGGGCTTTCTAGCAGCATATATAGAAAGGGCGTTCTCTTTTAGTATTATTTATATTTGGTAGCCTTAAAAATACTACCAAAATTCTGTTGTATTAATTGATTTCCTTTCTGGTTGGATCTTGAATATTTTTAACATGTGGGTCCACTTCTAAAAAAGCAGGGAACAGATAAATGAAGCTAAAAAGGGGACCAGCATTGACAATCACTTCATAACTTAATTCTGTGAAATAATTTATAATATAATATATAAAAGTTCTCTCATAAATTTGATCCCCAACAACTGTTTTGTTTCTCCAATATTCTTACCCTACCTTCCCAAGTTTCCTGCAGTCCAAGATTCTTCCTCTCGTCCAGATGAACATCAATCTAGCACCTGCACCCAGCACCATCTGTAACCTGCCCTGCTGATTTGTTTGTATGCATTTGGAAAGTCAACTTTATCGTGTGGTTTCCTCAACTGATGCTCTAAGAATTATGGGTACTGTATCATATAATTCCTTATTCTCTAAGTCTGCATGCACATGTTGTGTGTATGACCCATATGCTTGTTCTCATGAAAGCAGAAGTACTTCCTTCCATTGAGTCCTCTAGTTTTATAAATGAACCAATGATGTTTAGATCTGATCTTCTCTATTTTTTTCTATAATGAGTCTGATGATGCTTTTTTTTCTGAAATGAGTCTGTTCAAAAATATAGCTAACACACTTATGTCCCTAACTTAAGCTCTATTGCCCAAAGGCAGACAGGCAGACATGCAATTTTCCTCTTAGACATGTGCATGAAAAAGAAGTTTGACTGTAGCAGTATAACCGGAAGTCCACATAGAGTAAGATGGGCAGCTATCTAAATGTTTTAAATAAATAAACTGATCTTGTGAACTTCATGCCTGATCAGATTAAGGCAGGTTAAGATACGCAAAAAGACACGTTATGAGAGCTACATGAATACAATGAACTGGGAATGGTCAGAAATAAAGAAAATAAATTAATTGGAATAAATTTGCATTCACAGTATGCACCGTATTCCTTTCTTTTTAGACCCATTCTCATCACATGGGCATCTGCCTCTTTCTGGATCACAGCCAGAGGTAGTATTTAGCCAGTTCAGACCGGTTCTGGCATATCGGTAGCGAACATTTTGACAGGTTCAGAGAACTGGCAAATAACACCTCTGGTTGGCCACGCCCATCCGCCCCCGCTCTTACCTCTCACCTCTTCTATATTCTGTGTTTATTAGCTCAGCTGATTTGTGGATTGCCGCGCCTCAGCTGAGCTAAGAAACAGCTGTAGGTCGGTTTCAGACTCATTTGTGCAGGCTCAAATCACACATTTGGTGCACCCCAGTGGAGGCAAGAAGCAGCTGTTTGTTGACCTTAGACTCATTTGCATTTGGTGCATCTCAGCTGAGCTTTCAGGAAAGCATGTCTGTGCTAGGCAAAGTGCATTCTCATAGAACCAGTGGGAAAAAATTTGGAAATCCACCACTGATCACAGCCTAAATTCATATTTTTCCCCCTAAACAACAACAACACATATTTACATGCATAATCTATTGCCAGAAATGCAACACACATACATGCATATGCTGTTACCTTTCACATAAATGCCCTTCTCTTCATCACCTTCTTCCTCAGCTCTCTGAGTGCGCTGCCCAGATTCGGCCATAGTTGCTACCCACAGGCTGACCAGGACTCATAGGAAAAGGGTTTCATTTTAATTAAAAGTTTAGTGGTAAGATTAATGGGCATTAGTTTCTCATGCCTAGAGTTATTTTGGGGAAAGTATGGCAGCAAACTGCTGCAATCCAGTTTTTCTTTAAAATTATATACAGGTACAACAGCGCTGGAGAAAGTGACTTATGACTGTTTTTCACATTTACGACCATTGTTGCAGCATCCCCATGGTCATGTGATCAAAATTCAGATGCTTGGTCATATTTGTGAAAGTCACGTGATCCTCTTTTGTGACCTTCTGACAAGCAAAGTCAATGGGGAAGCCAGATTCACTTAACAACCGTGCTACTATCTTAACAACTGCATCAATTCATTTAATAACTATAGCAAGAAAGGTCATAAAATTGGACAAAACTCACTTAACAACTATCTAACTTAGGAACAGAAATTTTGGACTCAATTGTGGCCGTACATTGAGGAGTACCTGTACACCCAATTAAATATTTGATAGTGCTGGATAATGCAGGAAGTGTTGAGCACAGTTTTTGTCCCCAGCAATATCAGTCCATTCAGTAACACAGTATTTTGTTTTAACACTTTAACTTCCTATTTGATTTTTCAGACCAAAACACTGCAATGAAGAGTACAAATCAACCTTCCTTCTTCTGGATATGTCACTATTTTGCCAAGGGCCCTAAATCATGACACCATCTTGTTTATTAAAATGCCTTGAAGTCGTTTTCTCTCTCTGCTGAAGTGATGGTTTTTCCCGCAACGCTGACACCAGCTCATCCTGTGTCATTAAACGCAACTTTTATTGTCTATGAACATGCCCATGCCAATATTACCACTCCGTTGATCTTGGTCCATAAGGGCACAGCTCAGCTACTGAAATACCATTTGGGTGCCATGGTTACTACTGAGATAGCTCCTTTGACAATCAATAGTACACCTGCTCTCCTGTTACAAAGCTTCACAAGCTTGAGTCTACCACTCCAGATCGTCCTTTCTGCTGCCATGATATTTATTTTCCTTATTTCTTTTGTTGGTAACCTGGTCGTCTGCCTTATGGTTTATCAGAAGACTGCAATGCGATCCGCCATTAACATTCTTCTAGCTAGTTTGGCTTTTGCAGACATGCTGCTTGCTGTGCTGAACATGCCTTTTGCTCTGATAACCATCATTACTACCCAGTGGATTTTCGGGGATGTCTTCTGCAGAGTCTCTGCCATGTTCTTCTGGCTGTTTGTCATTGAAGGAGTTGCCATATTACTCATCATCAGCATTGACAGATTCCTTATAATAGTTCAAAGGCAGGACAAGCTGAATCCTTACCGAGCGAAAGTCCTCATCGCTGCTTCATGGCTGGTGGCCTTTGTTGTGGCTTTTCCACTCTCTGTGGGGAACCCCAGCCTACAGATACCTTCCAAAGCACCTCAGTGTGTATTTGGCTACACAACAAACCCAGGTTACCGTGCCTATGTAGTAGTGGTGGTTTTGGTCTCCTTTTTCATTCCATTCCTCGTAATGTTATATTCTTTTATGGGCATCCTCAACACTGTACGGCACAATGCGGTTCGTATCCATAGCCACCCAGACAGCATATGCCTCAGTCAAGCTAGCAAACTTGGTCTCATGAGCCTCCAGAGACCCTTTCAAATGAATATTGATATGAGCTTTAAAACTCGTGCCTTCACCACCATATTGATTTTGTTCATTGTCTTCATCATTTGCTGGGCCCCCTTCACCACCTACAGCCTTATTGCCACATTTAACAGCCACTTTTATCACAAGCACAACTTTTTTGAGATAAGCACCTGGCTCCTTTGGCTCTGCTACCTCAAGTCTGCTGTGAACCCACTCATCTACTACTGGAGAATCAAGAAATTTCACGATGCGTGTTTAGACTTAGTGCCCAAGTACTTCAAGTTTTTGCCACAGCTACCTGGTCAAGCTAGAAGACGTATCCGACCTAGTGCTGTTTATGTATGCGGGGAGCACCGGTCAGTAGTGTAAGCCTCACAGCAAATGGACATTTTCTCTTTTTCTGATATAGGCCTGTTTTAGTGGATTTTCTTTCTTTTTAATGGCTTCTTTAGCTGTCAGATTTATAATTTTTAGAATTCACATTCACCGTTTAAGGAGGGGATATTTGTTGAGCTTTTCTACCAGAATATACCCATACTATGTTCTTGACCACCTACTAAAGAAGTTCTATATACATGGGGGAGGAATTGTGTGTATAGGGCAGAGCTTTCTGCTGCAATGGCTTTTGCTGCAGAAAGAGACCAATTGAAACACCATTTTTCTCTTCCGCAGACAGAGCTGCAAAAATGTAAGTATGTAAATATGTAAGCTGCAAAAATGTAAGAATCCCTGTACCATTTGCACAGTTATTCCCCCCCATGTATATATGTAGCTCTTTATGGATTGTATGCTATTGCCTCCCTGGTTCTGTGGTAGAAAGGAAAAGTCATTTTGGATGTATGCCAGGTGATCTTAAGCACTGCTAATTATTTCATTTCATTGTAGATGTTAATGCTGCTATTTTATGGTACATTTAGATGAATACGTAATAGGCTTTTTTTTTTTTTTTCAAATAATGTTGCTGCATAGATGAGCCAAAATGTTTGCATTTAATTAATTATTTGCAAGAATTGCAGTGACATTAAAGGAGGGAAAAATCACATTCATGCACTTTAAATAGAACTGGATGGAGCGGAGTAAGTCGGGATGAAGAAAGGTTCAGTGACCTTTTACGTTTTTGTTTTTTTCTGCAAGGTTTTTAATTCTTCCACCAGTTTTGCAGTGTTTCAGAATGATGCTATAACATACTTTGTTCTCGAACTATTTTATAGTCCTTTTTGAGTTTACTTGAATGTCAGAAGTATGTAGTGCAAATTCATTTAGATGAAGACACTTAAAAAATTATTACAATTCAGAGGAAGTGCTTTAAATCCTTCTAAAGCCAAAAGGAATTAAACCAAATTCCAGTTATTTAAAAACACATGAGATTTGTCTTTAATTATTATTTCAATGAGAGGTACATGCTTATTCAAATTCAATGTCATGACTTTAGCCCCAACAAAAGAATAACTGATAGCATTTAAAAAGCATATAGTCATTAATTGTATGTAAACATACCATGGAAATATGGATTCCCTTTGAATATCAAACTCTTACTGCGAACTGTGTTGTATCAATATTTAATTAGAAGAGAAACTTGAAACATAGTTAATGTTCAAATATTTTTTTAATTTAAAAATTGGAGTCGTACATAGTGTGCAATTCTTTTGACGGAGAAGTATTTTTAAAGATTTTTTTTTAACTAAACTGGGAAAATAAAAATTTCCACATTTTCTCTCCAAATGCTTACAAATTGATGTTATCTTGCTTGAAATATGAAAATGATTTATGTTTACTTTTACTTTTTTCCTGTCAAGACAAACTATATTATGAGGTTGCATGACCAGCTATGTTTCTCTTGCAATATCCTGAAATTTTTACAAAAAGCTGAAAAAAAGAGTAAACATTTTTCTCAGGAGTATTTATCTTAATCTTTTAAATACATTTGACCAATGTACATATATTAAAACTTGTGTCAGTTCTGCTATATGTGCACTTTTCTAAAAACACCTTGTCATTCTTTACATAACCAAAATAACTACTTACACAGGAATAATTTCTTAATTTAAATCCTGCTTTTAAAAAGTTGCATTAGGGCAAAAAAAAGTCATGGTCAGAAGTAGATTTATTAATTCGGAACTGTTGGTTCATGTGACCAAACTTTATAGCACACTAAATTTATTTCATGTCTAAAAGACAACCTCGTTTCTTATCCAGCTTGATGAATTACCATTGCTGTCAGCAACCAGAAACATTGTTTTGTCTTCCCAAAGAAAGCATTTATTGAATATTTTAAACACATGACAAAATTCCCAGGGTGGGAGGAATAGGGATGGGAACACACTATGGGCCTTACTCTTCATATTTGTACTATTTCCTCTCCTCTCATTCCCCTAATCTGACTTCTGAATTGTACCTATACATTATACATAGAGAATTTTGATATCCTTTATGCATAAACTTCCTGGCTTATAATTCCAGATTCATTGTGTGGGCGTTAGTTGGTAGGACAAAACAGGTCAGATGGCATGGTGCGGTTAGCTTTACAACTGAACCCTCTTCATGTAAATAAAGAATGCAAGGGAAATAGTTGCAAGATGAGATAATGCACTGATAGACATCATCAGGAACAACTTCAGATATAATATTTAGAACTGTGGGCATTCTTGCATTTTTGAAAATTAAAACTTTGGAAGAGGCAAAAATAACTTAGCTATATTTCAACTGTATAGAAATTGGGATATGTTTTCTATAGAGCTGGAATAATCAGGACTTTCATCTGTTTGGCTATGGTATCATGTCAGTTGTCCACCCCTTTCATTATAGGGTTTATTTTAGAAGTGCTACTTTTAGCAGTAGATCAATAACATTTTCATACCCAGAGATGTTTGGAACAGCTTATTCCTTAAGCAATGGAAAGATTCTTGACTTTAAATGGCAACCTACGGTATGCTCTACTATAAATGAGTACTACTTTTACCTTATAGCAAAATGAAAAACATTGGTTATAATAGTTAACCAAATTGTTGCTTTGCTTACTACAATTCAATAGTAATTGATCACATTGATCCAAAGCAGTCTGGATGACAAACATTGACACTATTCCTGAAAATACACGATATCCCCTTGGACTTTAAACAGTGTGTAGACCTAAAAGGACAATGTTGACTTGAAAATAAATCCCACTGCAGTGTGTCTCATTCCCAGGTAAGTGTGCCCATGGTGCAGCTCTATGAATAGTAAACCAGTTCTGGATTCTCGATCAAATCAGAATTGTGTTGCTCACATCTCTGGATTTAGATCTAATGCAAATATGCTTACTGAGAAAATTAAGCTTTCATTTTGAATAGCTTGAAAACGAGGAAATGTTTGCTCCTAATTAACATATCAAAATCAGAAGAGCCGAGGCAAAATTTCCAAATTTCTCACAATACCTCATAATCTGTTTCCTCTGTTGCTTCTAGTCTTTGTTTTTCCCATTTTGTCATTGGAATGGCCAGGTATAAAGGATTCCAGAACTGTTGTCAAGAAACATTTAACAGAAAGAAGTGTAATCATGTATAATGTTTACATTTTAAACCATTTCATCTATTATCGCCATTGGCTCTTTTAATATACTGTTGTTTTAGAACAGTGCCTTTTCATTTTGATATTGATTTTTATATCCTCTTAAACTTGAAAATCCTTCAGTTCAGCTGGTAATCAGCCTCTTCATGTGTCCATATGTTCTACCGAGATTACACCCATGCTTAAAGAAAAAACATATAGGAAGCTTTCAGAAGGCAACAATACCTTAAAATATATCTCAAACGATTTTATTAAAGCATTCTAGGTAAAAAAATATTTGTTTTTGTTCCTCCTTTTAAAATACATATTTTTGCTCAAACTTGGAAATGAAAGGCAGGGTGCTGAAGTAAGTAAGATATATTTTTAAATACATATATATTTGTATTTAAGCAGATTTGTCAAGCAGTCACATTTGATATAAAAATCTGTTGCTAAAAAGTTTCATGAGATGTTTTATACTCTGAAGGGATGTCTTATTTTATGGAAGCATTTATGTTTGTATACTGAATAACAGTAGTGTCCTCCCTCTCCCTTCTCAGTGTGGTATTTTTATAAAATTGTTTTTAATGAGCTTTATATAAGTTGCTGTCAGTTTAGTTCTCTTTCTCTCATGCCTTGCAACATTATCCTTGTAAACAAATGTATTCATTTATTTTTGCCATATAAAAACAAACCACCACAACATACTGTGGTTGCAAAAGAAAAAGTAATGACTTCCTTAACTCTTATTTCTTTCTAGAGTTATTATTAGCTATTGATGAAATGTTTCTTTTGTTGAAATCAGACCTCAGTTTTTAAATTTTAAAGTTAAACTTGATCTATATGTGATGTATATATATTTCCATGAAAATAATTACAGTAAATAATTATTAAGACAAACTTTCTGTAACTGTTTATAGGGAAATGGCTATTATTAAGTAGCTAGATTTATTCATTAAAATGTTCTAAAAATTAGTTTTGGTGTATTGGAAGAAAAATCAGAAGCACCATTTTAAAGTCTCTTCATATTATGAAAACGAATTCTCAGATTTGAGAGGTTTTTTTTGTAGACCTTCGAAATAGCAATTAAAAGCTTCAGATAAGATCACGTTATATCAGACGGGTGGAAGAATGTGAGAGTGCATAAAATAATTTCTGATCAAGGCAGCAAGATATTTGAAAGAACTGATTCATTCCAGTTTTCATTTCTAATGTGAATTTCTGTGCAAATAATTAATGAAATGTCTTGTTTACACTAGACTGACAATGTGGAGTTGTCCATGTTGTTCAGTTGGGCACTTTTGTCTAAAAGGGGCATACAACTTTTTCTTGACTGAGGGCCTTATGTGGTCTTTAAGTGATGTGATATACAAACAGGCTACATTCCAAGAAGCGGTGGGAGAGGCCACAAGGAAAATCAAATTTGTCATCATTTGCATTTAAGTTTAATTAAAATTAATTATAATTAGTCTGATTGTTCTCCTGTCCTTATTTATCATTTTTACCTCTCATTAAAATTACAGGTTGGTAACAGTGTCCAGAGATCTTGGATTAACTTCATACCCTTTAAACAAATATGAACACTCAAAATTGCTTTATATTTACAAGTTGGAAAAACAATCCAACTGTTGCTCTCTATATCCACAAAATTCAATTCATATGTAGAAGCTCAAAAATCTTTGAAATTTTAATATTGTAATGTAGCAAAGAACACTCTAATAATAATATTATAGAGAGAGAGATTCAAGACAATTCAATATTCCATGCTAAAGATCAATTCCATTGTCATTCTACCTTAACTGTTTCTGCTATGGTTGGCCATTTTAGAAAGTTCTTCCTTAAGCTGAGGAAATAACTCAGGTTGACTTGTTTTCTATTCCTTACTGATTCTTTCTTTTGTGTGATCTGTTTGTAAACCTATGGACAAGGGCTAGCCTACTTTGATTGATCTTATGGGATTCTTTTTGAAACTTAGGAGATGTGATTTGAATGAAACTACCTGATACCATGACCTGCTCTGTGATGATTAAATCATATTGTTGTCTTCCATCCAACTTGTTTCTATGTCCAAAGCGCCATTTCCCATCTTTAACCATAAATGTGTATCCTGTTTCTATTAGGTTATGATAGTTTCATGCCAAGTAAGGAGGAATATTGGGTGAGAATAGTTTTTTTAATGAAAGCCTTATTAAAGAAAAATCATTTGTATTTATTATTTTACAAATAAGGCATCACCATCCCGCCTTCCTCGTACTTTGCTCACAACAACAACCCTATGAGATGAGTTGGGCTAAGAGAGAGTGACTGGCCTAAAGTCATCCAGCTGGCTTTTCATGGCCAAGGAAGGACTTGAACTCATGATCTCCCACTTTCTGGCCTTAAACCGCTAGACCAAACTGGCTCTCTGATTTTATCAATCAGTATTTGTTACTGTTCAAAATGGAATCTTTGCCTGCCAGTTTTTAAGAAGAGGTAATTTATCCTGTAATTTATCCTAAAATGGTCATGTAAGACACCAAACGTGACACATTCAGCAAGGTTAGACTGTCTTAATGCAGTTGATTTGGAATCCAAATCTTTGTTGTAAATATGTAGAATGTACCCTTGCTTTCTCATAAGGTTGGGTTATGTTTCTGAGATGTCTATTCTTCAAACTAGGGCCAATGGTTCTCAACTTGCAGTCCACGAACCCCTGGAGGGCCGTGATAGGCTTGAAGAAATAAGGCTTGAAGAAATAAGATTTAAATCTTAAATTGTGGGGGTTTGTAGCGATAGCCCATGCCCACAAAAAGTATGAACTAGGGTTTTCCAGATGATGCTGAACTGCAAATCCACCATGCTTCTTAACACTAGCAGAGTGTGATTCAACATCCAGAGCATCACATACTGCTACAGGTAGTCGACTTACAACAGTTCGCTTAGTGACCAAAGTTACAATGGTACTGAAAAAAGTTAGTTACGACCATTTTTCACACTTATGACCTTTGGAGCATCCCCATGGTCATGTGATCAAAATTCAGATGCTTGGCAACTGGTTTATATTTATGACCATTGCTGTGTCTTGGGGTTATGTGATCAAGCGTCTGCAACCTTCTGCCAAGTAAAGTCAATGAGGAAACCAGTTTCATTTAACATCTGGGTTACTAATTTAACAACTGCAGTGATTCACTTAAATGGGGCAAGAAAGGGGCAAGACTCACTTAACAAATTTCTCGCTTAACATAAATTTTGGGCTCAATTGTGATCATAAGCTGAGGAGTACCTATATTTCTAAGTCCTTTTTAAAATTATCTTGTTAACTTATATGAATAATTTTGAATTTCCTTGGTATGAATTGGGCATACCACATCATGCATGGAAAGCATTTCAGTAAATGTATTGGTAAAGGGAATCTAAAGATGTCTTGTTGGTATTGCTCCTAGAAGGTTGATTCTACACTGATCCTAATAAGCATTCTCAGAGGAATTCATTATTTTGAAACCCATTCCTAATGTGAAATGTTTTGTGCATTTGAAGTTCATGCTAATTTCCACAAAGGCTTACATTGCTAAGCAACATACTATGTTATCTCTGGAGGCCAAAGGCTATACTACCTATATCTTAATTGAAGCTAAAAGAAATGTACACTGCTCAAAAAAAAATAAAGGGAACACTTAAACAACACAATGTAACTCCAAGTCAATCACACTTCTGTGAAATCAAACTGTCCACTTAGGTAGCAACACTGATTGACAATCAATTTCACATGCTGTTGTGCAAATGGAATAGACAACAGGTGGAAAGCATAGGCAGTTAGCAAGACATCCCCAATAAAGGAGTGGTCCTGCAGGTGGTGACCACAGACCACTTCTCAGTTCCTATGCTTTCTGGCTGATGGTTTGGTCACTTTTGAATGCTGGCGGTGCTGTTGCTCTAGTAGTAGCATGAGACAGAGTCTACAACCCACACAAGTGGCTCAGGTAGTGCAGCTCATCCAGGATGCCACATCAATGCGAGCTGTGGCAAGAAGGTTTGCTGTGTCTGTCAGAGTAGTGTCCAGAGCATGGAGGCGCCATCAGGAGACGTGGAGGAGGCCGTAGGAGGGTAACAACCCGGCATCAGGACCGCTACCTCCGCCTTGCAAGGAGGGACAGGAGGAGCACTGCCAGAGCCCTGCAAAATGACCTCCAGCAGGCCACAAATGTGCATGTGGCTGCTCAAACGGTCAGAAACAGACTCCATGAGGGCCCAACGTCCACAGGTGGGGGTTGTGCTTACAGCCCAACACCATGCAGGACGTTTGGCATTTGCCAGAGAACACCAAGATTGGCAAATTCACCACTGGCACCCTGTGCTCTTCACAGATGAAAGCAGGTTCACACTGAGCACATGTGACAGACGTGACAGGGTCTGGAGATGCCATGGAAACGTTCTGCTGCCTGCAACATCCTCCAGCATGACCGGTTTGGCAGTGGGTCAGTAATGGTGTGGGATGGCATTTCTTTAGGGGGCTGCACAGCCCTCCATGTGCTCGCCAGAGGTAGCCTGACTGCCATTAGGTACTGAGATGAGATCCTCAGACCCCTTGTGAGACCATATGCTGGTGCGGTTGGCCCTGGGTTAATGCAAGACAATGCTAGACCTCATGCGGCTAGAGTGTGTCAGCAGTTCCTGCAAGACGAAGGCATTGATGCTATGGACTGGCCCACCCATTCCCCAGACCTGAATCCAATTGAGCACATCTGGGACATCACATCTTGCTCCATCCACCAACACCACTTTGCACCACAGACTGTCCAGGAGTTGGGGGATGCTTTAGTCTAGGTGTGGGAGGAGATCCCTCAGGAGATCATCAGCCACCTCATCAGGAGCATGCCCAGGTGTAGGGAGGTCATACAGGCACGTGGAGGCCACACACACTACTGAGCCTCATTTTGACTTGTTTTAAGGACATCACATGAAAGTTGGATCAGCCTGTAGTGTTTTTTTCCACTTTAATTTTGAGTGTAACTCCAAATCCAGAACTCGATGAGTTGCTAAATTTGATTTCCATTTATAATTTTTGTGTGATTTTGTTGTCAGCACATTCAACTATGTAATGAACAAAGTATTTAATGAGAATATTTCATTCATTCAGATCTAGGATGTCTTATTTTTGTGTTCCCTTTATTTTTTTGAGCAGTGTATTATCCCTTTCCAATGCAGTTAAAGCATTCAAGAATGTTCTCTACTTTAACCAAATTTTTAACCTTTTTTTTCTATGACAAGCAGAACTGCCAGTTTAAAAACAGGACTTTCTTTTAAATCTACTATTGGACAATCCCTGTTAAGTTCTTCAACAAATAGATTTTTTTAAAAAATTCTTCAGTTGGAAAGCCCAGCAACAAATCATATAACAAATAATGTGCACATATTCTCTGACCAAATTGGAGATAGATTTCAGAGCAAAATGAAAAAAGAAGTCTCTTTGAATGCTAGAAGAAAGGCAATGAAACAAAATAGAAATGATGAAAGAATGTGAACATGGTGGAAAACTCAAAATCATCAACAACTGGAGAAGATACCTCCTAATTTTTTCTTCTTCTAACTAGAGCTAACAAGTTACAGCAAATCACTTGTCTCTTGCAGCCAGAAGCCAAGATCTAGACAGTCTCAGAGTTACATAGATCTTGTATAAAACATTGATCAAAGACAGTTCAAGGATGCACACATTCTATAAAGATCTCAAATACGAAGGATAAAGGAAAGAACAGGTTAAAAATGCATGATTACAAGAAGGAACATCTATCACCCAAAGTATGAAAACATTGTCTGCTGTTACATCATTCGAAACATGACATCAATATATCAAATTCTTTGATGTATGAGAAGTGCAAAGACCTTAATTGTTACCTTACTTCCCTGTACTGAGGAAAGAACAGACATAAGGAGGCAATCCATACACATCCTTGAATCTACACATTTTGTAGGTATTTGTAGTTCTTGGTAGTACATTAGCGCAACTATGTAAATAATGATAAAATGAATAGAAAAATTAATGTATAGCACTTTGGTTAAATATCAAGTTATCTTTAAAAGAAATATAACAAATGTTTTCTTTTTTCTTTTTATTCCATCCCTCCATATTTTCTTCTGTTCATATTTGTTTCCTAAAATTCATATGGAGGACGAGTTGGATAATGCCAGGATGCTGCTCGTATTTTCTACTACAAGTACAGACTAGCTATGAGGAGGAGAAGAGACTAATCTTGAAATAGGATGAGCAATAAATAAAATATACAGAAAGATCAAAACTCTTTGTATAGGAACAAATATAAAGAAAATAACATTTTTTCAGTAGCTGAGATCATCAAGGAAGTTCAGGTAAAAATAACTGAACCCAATTCTGAAAATAACCAATGTCTGCTTCCTTATGAATGGGATGCTG